CAGGCCAGGAGCCCCTAGTAGCTTCTTGTTCCTAGTAGTAAGGCCAGCAGTCCTTGCTACTAGTAGTAAGGCCAGGAGCCCCTAGTAGCGTCCGCTCGTGCCTTCTTGTATCTTTCCAAAGCCAACTCAATGCGGCCCTGCTTAAAGAGATTGCTACCTGGGTCCACATCGCTCACCGAGGTGTGACACGAGGTGTGAGAGGTGTGACACGAGGCTCACTCGGAGGCTTTCCATTCTGGCGCCCCAACCGACGTCTTTCCGTTCTTGGCCTCTTTGGACCTTCTCCTCTTCGCTGATCTCCCACTGGTCCTTGCCGCAATCCGCAATATGTCGTGCTGCCGTGAACAAAAACATGCCTATCTGCTGGCGCGAATGGCCAGAGGAATTCAGGAAATGACTTGGAACATCTACGAATAGCTGCAAATAAGCAACTGGTTCGAAGAAGCTAGTGAAAGCGGCAAACCTAGGTTGAAATCCACAAGATACAAGTTCTCACAAAGCAGTTCCAGGGTCTCAAGTGCAAATTACCTGTGACCAAAGTCTTCACATCTCCACCATGCGATGTCAAGAAGTTCGTTCCAAGTCTTGACATGACAGGACATCGCAGGCGAACTTACGTCACAGTTCAACTGTAAACTCACATGTAGCAGTCTCTTCACGCAGTCTTGCAATTAACATGTTGTCATGTCAGAACGTCTTTCCCAGATATCCCACGCATCTTCGTGCTGTCTCAGAAAGTCCTTCTGTTTCTCAAACTCCACCAACTCCAGCGTCATGATGGTCTGAAGTTTCTTTGAAGTTCCCATGTTCAATTCCCGGCTTTGGCTTTACCCAAAAAACTTGTCTTTTCGTCCACAGCACCAGCACTGCAGCCTCTCCGTCCGGAGTGAGGCCCAGCTGCGGCTCCGTGCAGCTGCTGGCCCTGAAGAGATTTCAAAAATATGAGGAAATGATCAGACATTTCAATACAAGCATAAGAATACAATGTGTTCAACCATTGTACTAGTATAAAGTATAAACATGAAATGATAGGTCAATACTTATACATTCAGTCACATTCGGTACTGACATGAATCAACAGGGGACCCTCTTTCTACATTTGGTTACGAATGGATAGCACTTCAAGCACTCCAAAGCTCAGTGAAGAGCTGCAAAGACAATATGTGCTTTGCACACCATTCTTTAGTTTAAAAAAAAAAAAAAAAACATCAACAAACAAGTTTCCAGTGGGCCTGGTGCAGGTCAGAACAGCGCGTTCTCCTTGCTTCATCTCCAGGACTGCTCCTTGCCAGCGTGGTATCATTGAAAAATCCGTTCTTCGACATCCGGTGAATGGACTCAAGATTTAAGTGCCTTCCAGCGCATCGCAGACTTCACCGTTGCCGGCTGTAAACTCCAGCCTCGGCCCATCACTCTTAGGTTGGAGGACATCCCTGGTAGGTTGGAGGCCATCGCTAGTAGGTTGGAGGCCAGCGCTTATAGGTTGGAGGCCATCGCTCTTAAGTTTTAGGTTGGAGGCCATCCCTTCTAGGTCAAGAGGTTGCACAGTAGGTTGGAGTTTGAGGTCATCGCTTCTACGCTTCTAGGTCAAGAGGTTGCACAGTAGGTTGGAGGCCATTGCAAATAGGTTGGAGGTCATCGTTGCTAGGTCAAAGGTTGCACAGTAGGTTGGAGGCCATCGCTTCTAGGCTGGAGGCCATCGCTATTAGGTTGGAGGTCATCTCTTCTAGGTCAAGATGTTGCACAGTAGGTTGGAGGTCATCGCTTCTAGGTTGGAGGCCATCGCTATTAGGTTGCACAGTAGGTTGGAGGCCATCGCTTCTAGGTTGGAGGCCATCGCAAATGTATAGGTTGGAGGTCATCGCTTCTAGGTCAAGAGGTTGCACAGTAGGTTGGAGGCCATCGCTATTAGGTTGGAGGTTATCGCTTCTAGGTCAAGAGGTTGCACGGTAGGTTGGAGGCCATCGCTTCTAGGGTGGAGGCCATCGCAAATAGGTTGGAGGTCATCGCTTCTAGGTCAAGAGGTTGCACAGTAGGTTGGAGGCCATCGCTTCTAGGCTGGAGGCGGTCGCTATTAGGTTGGAGGTCATGTCTTCTAGGTCAAGAGGTTGCACAGTAGGTTGGAGGCCATCGCTTCTAGGTTGGAGGCCATCCCTATTAGGTTGGAGGTCATCGCTTCTAGGTCAAGAGGTTGCACAGTAGGTTGGAGGCCATCGCTTCTAGGTTGGAGGCCATCGCTATTGGAGGCCATCGCTTTTTGGTCAAGAGGTTGCACAGTAGGTTGGAGGCCATCGCTTCCAGGTTGGAGGCCATCGCTTCTAGGTCAAGAGGTTGCACAGTAGGTTGGAGGCCATCGCTTCTAGGTCAAGAGGTTGCACGGTAGGTTGGAGGCCATCGCTTCTAGGTTGGAGGCCATCGCTATTAGGTTGGAGGTCATCGCTTCTCGGTCAAGAGGTTGCACAGTAGGTTGGAGGCCGTCGCCTCTAGGTTGGAGGCCATCGCTATTAGGTTGGAGGTCATCGCTTATTAGGTTGGAGGTCATCGCTTCTAGGTCAAGAGGTTGCACAGTAGGTTGGAGGCCATCGCTTCTAGGTTGGAGGCCATCGCTATTAGGTTGGAGGTCATCACTTCTAGGTCAACGGTCAAGAGGTTGCACAGTAGGTTGGAGGCCATCGCTTCTAGGTTGGAGGCCATCGCTGTTAGGTTGGAGGTCATCGCTTCTAGGTCAAGAGGTTGCACAGTAGGTTGGAGGCCATCGCTATTAGGTTGGTGGCCATCCCTATTAGGTTGGAGGCCATCGCTTCTAGGTTGGAGGCCATCGCTATTAGGTTGGAGGCCATCATGGCTACTAGGTTGGAGACCATCGCTTCTAGGTTGGAGGCCATCGCTATTAGGTTGGAGGTCATCGCTTCTAGGTCAAGATGTTGCACAGTAGGTTGGAGGCCATCGCTTCTAGGTTGGAGGCTAGGTCATCGCTTCTAGGTCAAGAAGTTGCACAGTAGGTTGGAGGCCATCGCTTCTAGGTTGGAGGCCATCGCTATTAGGTTGCAGGTCATCGCTTCTAGGTCAAGAGGTTGAACAGTAGGCTGGAGGCTTCTAGGTTGGAGGCCATCACTATCCATCACTATTTGGTTGGAGGCCATGGCTTCTAGGTCAAGAGGTTGCACAGTAGGTTGGAGGCCATCGCTATTAGGTTGGTGGCCATCGGTACTAGGTTGGAGGCCATCATGGCTATTAGGTTGGAGGCCATCGCTTCTAGGTTGGAGGCCACCGCTAGTAGGTTGGAGGCCATCGCTTCTAGGTCAAGCGGTTGCACAGTAGGTTGGAGGCGAGAGTCCAGCCAATTCCAGTGGCACATCCGCGTCGTCAACTCAAGCGGCAACACGTCTCAGAACATGACGTCTTTGATGCTCCTGCAACTTCAACCTCGTTCACAGCATTCACAAAGCTGGAATGAATTTGAAAGGCCGCATCGCCCTGTGCAAGGCTGCGCGGTTGAATCGCACGGCACCCTCACATCAGTGCCTTGCCTTTAAGGTCACTTTGCAACCATCCTTCGGCGACTCATAGCCTTAGACATAGTGAGTAATGTCTTGGCGTGCGTCTTTGGGGATGTCTCCGGGGATCAGGATGAGATCGGGAGGACGCAAGTTTGCAACTTTGCATGTCTTCCGCTTTCAGGTCTTAGTCGATGTGAGAAGGCCAAGAGCAAGGTCAAAACCCTCTTCTACCGAGCCCAAGATCCCGCCTTCTCCTTCCTTTATCTGCTTCTTCATCGTGGACCTAAGATTGGTATTCCTCCCACAGGAAGAAGCCACTACCATATCACTTCTCCCAACCACTGGGCTTTTCACGGGTGCCCAAGAACCCGTTCCGAGCAAAGGTTGACTTGCCCGGGAGGGACATACTGTCGGACACACTTTAGAGATCAGGGTAAGGCTTGCGCAATGGAAGGACACAAGCAACATCAAGCAACCCATTGCCATGCCTTTATTGTGCACTGCAAGTAGCTTGTCTTTGGCGAAGGAAACGTCCTCACTCCGACAATTGGGCTCAAACGGCTTCGCAAATGGAATTGACAGCTGGCCAGCTGGCCCTCTCCTTCACGTCGTACATTTCATGCAACGTGACCTCAACCTGAGCGGCGAAAGTCAGGATCGAATGTTCAATGAGCAAAGAAGCTTAGTTGTATGCTATAATTTGTGTTGCAATTTATTGCTATATAATTGACTAATTGTTTATGCTGAGCAAACCAGCTGTGCCACCCTCTGGGTATTTGTCTCCAAGGAAATAGTCCTCTGCGCATGGAAGACAAGTTGGTCTGAAGAGGCGTCACGTTTTTGGGAGGTGTCAAGAGGTTGCACATAAGGTTGGAGGGCATCGCTAGTAGGCAAGCTTGATGTAAACACCCCATGGGCGTCGGCATGTGTTTTCACAGGGTCCTTGGTGCACTTCACCGCCACCTCTTCATCTTTCTTCATGTTCAGCAGAACCTGGAGTTGGACAAATGTTTGGTCTGTGACAGCATTTACATGTACAATGTGTGACATGTGTATGCGTATCTCTATCGACTCCAGATGGTCCTTTTAGACTGACTAGAGAGCTGTTAAATCTGAAAACAGCCACTGGATTCGTGTCAATTCTCTTCATGTGAAGCAACTGACCTCTTTCTAACATGTTCAAACCCCTACAGCCATACCACATTTTTTGTGGTTTTGTCTCTTTCTTGTGATGTCCCCTGCCTTATCTACAACCTTGCCCAACTCGCCAAGGGCATCAGAGGACAACACGTATTCGATCTGCGGTGGCAATTGACTTCACACTGTCATGATACTAAGCATGGCTCTTGTGCCTAGGGAGAATTCACACACTTTATTTGCAATATTTTTTTGGATTGTCTGGTTCGTTCCTGCGACTTCTCCTCCACAACTGTATCATCAGGGGCCTTCCGTGTCGCGAGAAATTGTCGGCGTGCAGAATTATGTTCAATTCATCTGACGCACAGCAAAAAGTTCAGCGGCCGATGTTGACAACGTCGTCACCATCTCATGCTCGATGCGCCCAATGTGCCTTTGCTTTGAGGCTCAGGAGGACCTCCTTGCCATCCTCGGCCGATGTGGCCCTAATTACCTACCTCAAACCTCCTGTCCTTGCAAGTCTTCTTCATCTTCGCAAGAGGTTTTTGACCCATTTCAGAAGGATTAGGAACCCTCCAACTTGCAAGGACTAAAAATATTGAAAGTCAAAACCCAACGTGCGCTTAGTCAACACAGTCACTTGAGAGAAGGCGGTGGGTGAAAGGTTGGCAAGCAGCAGCAGCGGCAGCAGCAGCAAACCAACAAACCAGAAGCAACCAAACAGCAGCAATCCTGCAGCAGCCAACAAAAGCATGGGAAGAGCAGGAGCGCGCATTAAAACGAGCTCAGGAAAAACATTACGAGGAGAAAGGATACTTCGTAAGAAAGAAGTGGATGAAGGCGCGTTGCATAAAGTACAGACTGGTATAAAGTGGAGAAGCTCGATACTGATCCAGTCACACCAGGCCACGGCACACTTGAAGGTCATTCAAGAGGATCCTGGTCTTAAAAGCAATGGCCTACCTAACAGCGATGGATAGCAATGAGGGCGATGGTCTCCAACCTCTTTGAAATGGCCTCAAACCGAATAGCAATGGCCTCCAACCTGATAGCGTGGGCCCCCACCTAACAGCAATGGCTCCCACCTATATTAATAGCAACGGCCTACAACTTAATAGCGATGGCCACCAACCTAATAGCAATGGCCCCTGGCCTAATAACAGTGGCCTCCAACTCTCAGTTTGAGAATTGGTAATGACGCGGAAGCGACCAAAATTGCAAAGCGAAGTGGAAGCCAAGCAACGAAATAACTGTCCAAGCCGCGTCCACTTTTCCAATCCTCGCGCTAGGAATCCACAAGGCCCTCTGGCCTCCAATGCCCTATGGCGCAGCAAGGTCGAAAACAGTAGCCGGCAACAGCGCCGTTTGGCACGGCATGGGCTGAAGGGTTCCCTGGCTTGAGGCGAGCGCAACTTGGCGTAAAGACTTGAAGCGAACGAGTCAAATGGCTGAAACAAGAAAACCGACATGCCCTAAAAACTCTTCGCGAAAGTCCCTGGTCTCACTGTCTGGGACCTAGCCACCAAGTCGCGCCACGAACGACCTCCTCGTCATGATCGGAGCTCCAGTGGCTAACTCATCCAAGCCTGGATCGGTGTAGCCGAGAAGGACGATTCTTGCCTTACAATTTGACCTGCTTTTCATCACCGCATCAATTGCCTTAAACACAAGGGCCCAACGAGAGCACATCAGCCATCAGCCGCGATCTGGGATTGAAGCGCTTGCAGACCTTTTGGCATACGCGCTGTGAGACTTCCATCATCTTAGCTTCTTTCATGCTCTGACGCTGTTCAGGCGTCAACTTCTCCCACGCCACTTCAGCGACCTTCTGCGCGAAGGGACCCGGGTTCTTCAACACCTTCTTTCAAGCCGCTTCATCTTCAGGAATCGGGATATCCACATCATCACACCACAAGGCTGGAGAAAAAGGTTGTGAAGACTGTGCTGCTTGCTACATGTGGAGAGGTCGGTCTTCCATCTCACGCCGATGACGAGCTCGTTGAAACTCACCTCGCCTGGCGTCCAAATCTTCAGCTGGAGTTCGCTTTATACGGAGATAGGATAGGATGGAGCTGCTGTTGATTCTTCAGGAACTGGTACAAGCTCTTCTTCTGAGTCATCTGACACTGAGGAGAGGCTCAAACGCGCACATACTTCGCAACTTCGCCATTCGAGTGAACAAAGCTCATTGCTGAGACTACTCTTCCTTGGACGTTCACAGCTCTGGGACAGACCCTGGACAAGGGATTAGGCGTCCGAAGAGCAGATATGACCCACACCACATTTCCAGCGCGACGGAGTAACGAATCCTCTGAGACGCAAGTCTCACAGGCCAGCACCCTCGCGGCCAAACCAGCGAAAATGACTGCCTTGCGCTATAGATCAAGTTCACGATGGGCAGTGAAGTCCTTTGGGAATTTGTACCTCCGATCTCCTGTTATGTATTGTGTGGTTCGATCAGGTTTGGCGTTCGAGATCTTCGCATCTATTTGTACTAAGCCTCAGCATCCAAACGGTTCTTGCTCATCTCAGACGTTGGGTCACCAGCCGCACTGAGATTTGATGCTCACCAAAAGCCCATTGAATCGGTGAAAAGCCACTCACACGAGCGAACCTGTTGTGAGCTGCACACATTTCATAAGCAGCAAGACGAGGTTCGGCTGAGCTGTCTCGTCGAAGATAAGCCAGCATCTTCTTCTTCAGTTCACCTATGGTCTGTTCGACGTCTCCAGTTGCTTCGTGGTGCTGCGCGGGCGCAAAAGATAGCTCAATGTCTCTGCTGCGGCAACAAACCTCCACGAAAGGCTCCTTCCAAATCACATCTCAAACATGCAGGCGTTCCAATATTGGAACCAACGTTGCACCAAAGCATCCAATGTGGCTGGGATGTTCTCACGTTGTTCGTCAGGATGTGACATGACCTCATGGACGACGGAAAACCCAACGCCTCATCCAGCATCAGAAGAAAATGGCGCACGAGGTTTCCTTTCTTCAAACCAAATGCATCAACTTCAAAAGTTCTCCACAGCTCTTGCTCTTTCTCAAGTGACACCTTGGGAGAGGGTCTCGCCATGGTGCCCTCAAGACATTCCATGCACTTGAGCTGTTGAGCTCGCCTTTTGCCCCCAGACTTCGCACCAGCGCTTGACTGCCAGGATGTACGGCGGTTCATGGACGTCAGCAAGCCCGGGGCGCGAAGTTCTCAGCCGCCATGGTTTCTTCAACAACTCCCCGCGCAGTCTTGAGGCCAGATTGGCAACCGCCCAAAAAAACATCTTCAAATCTCAGAGATCTTGAATGGTGTCAAATTTCCCAGCAGCGTTGCGAAGAAGCCATTCATTCTTGGACCATTTTTCCATTTTGGGCAATTTCTCCGCCTTGGTTACCGCTTGGTTCAGCTGTACTTCAATCACCTTGACGCCGTTCTTGACAAGTCTTCGAGAACGAGCCCTTCGACGAAGGCTCCGTTTCCTCCCCTCTGGCGTCAAATTGTTGAAATGTTGGAGAGGGAAGTGGCGCCACACGCAAAAGAAATCCAACGAATCTCTGGCTTGTGAAGCTTGACAAGGCGAATTGCTTCGGCTTCAGAAAGAAGGTCGCACTTGTTGAAGAATCCCATTCTCCCGGCCTTGCTGCCAGAAGCTCTCCAAGTTCGAGTCAACAGACTGTCTTCTTCGCAGCATAGCTCCGTGAGCTCAAGCCTTTTAGGCGCAGACGGCGAAGAACAGGTAGCAAGGTCTTCTCAATGAACCTCAGATTCCAAATCATTGTCATTCAGGGCGCCGGGACCATAGCCACGCACATCATCAGACATCGGCTCCTCTCCCAGAGCTTCGCAAAGGGTCGAGCAGGCAGTCAGGCACCTCTTCATCGTCCATGTTGACATTCTCAGGCGTGAACTCGTTGCAAGGAAGATCATTGAGTCATTCTTTGAGAGCGCAGTGCTAAGATCCAGGTTGTCATACTCAGGGACGACGCAATACTTGGAAAGCGGTGGTCCAATGTCCAGGATCTTCTCGGCCTCATATACTATGGCTGGTCGTTCCAGCGACGCTCCAAGAAACTTCTGAACCCCTGTCTTCAGCAAGTACTCCGGCTTGCGAGACTTTCTCTTTGGAGTCAATTAAAGTCTCCTGGTCCACATGGATCGCCTAATTGATGTATCCCTGAGTCGTCTTGACGCGAAGTGAGGGTCGAAATTGCGAGGATGGCCAGAATTCTCAGGCTCATACCGAGATCGGAATTGCGCCGTTCAGCTAACAACGCCGACTCTTCCAAAACAATCGGCCCTTCAACAAACTCTCGCAATTCCGAATCTTCAAAGGCAGGAAAAATAGTTTCCACACAAGAAAACGAAGGGCGCTTCAAAGTCGAAGATTCATGTACTGTGTGTTCGTGGGCGCAAATCCCTTGACTAAAGCTCACCTGGACCTCATGGGACCTGTCGTGAAGTAGCTAGTGGGGTCGAGGTAGTAGTGAAAGAGGCCGTAGATGAACTCAACAAAGGTGAGGTTGGGGGCATGTAGAGAAAGCCTCGTGAAAAACCTCTTGCACTGCGCACACCTTGTCACGCTCGTCAGTGTCCGTGGTGTCTTGCATGAAGAGGATGCTTGCCCCTCTATCCAACTAGTACTAGTTCGAGCAAAGGTCCAGCGACATGGCCAGTTCGTGACCGGTGCATTCACAACATGCGGATCCACTGTCTTCAACACCAATGCTCTGGTGAAGAATACTCCCAGAACGGAACATCTTCTGACATCTGAGGTCCCGGAATCACAGTCACATGATTCGCATGGTGAAGCAACTCGGTCCTGCGAAGGTGGATGTACTCCAAGGCAGCCAGCGAGCTCACGGACTCGGTTGCTCCCGTATCAAGCACATACACCATATCCCTGAAGCTCAGGTTAAGGACCTCGCATGAGAGAATTTGGGGAATCTCTTGTTGGGGGATCACCTCACGCGCCTCCAAAACCTAGGACCTAGGGCTCCCCAACCTCCGAAACCAAGAACTTGCCAGACCCTTTCTGGGAAGTTGAGGTGGTCGAACGCGAGGGGCACTGAAGGAAACTTTCGTGACTGATCTCCTGAGTGACAGTCCACGCACGACCAGTCAGTTGGGAAACAGTCCTGAAAGGTTGAGACAGCTCCGTTCCAAGTGCATCGGAACAGCTTTTCGTCCTTTGCCACCTCCATGGGGTTGTTCGCCAAGACACACGCAATGAGTCGGGCAAAGGTGCGGTATTGGGCGTAGTGCTGCCACTCCCAAACAAGTAATCGAAGAGCTCAATGACAAGAAGCGGGCGAGGCCCAGGTCCCTTGGAGCCAATTAAGCTCCGCTACCAATCTCAGTTTGAGATTTGGTAACGAAGCGTAAGCGACCAAAATTGCAAAGCGAAGTGGAAGCCAAGCAACGAAGTAATGTCCAAGTCGAGTCCACTTTTCCAATCCTCACAATAGGAATCCACAAGGCCCTCTGGACTTCAAAGTGCAATGCCATGGCACAGCAAGTTGCCCTTCAAGCTCAAAAACAGTAGCAGGGTTCCCTCGTTTGAGGTGAGCCCACTTTGGCGCGTCAGAGACTTGAAGCGAACGAGTCAGATCGCTGAAACCAGAAAGCCGACACCAACCTAATAGCGATGGCCTCCGAACCTCCAACCAAAGGGCGATGGCCTCCAACCTGATAGCAATGGCCCCCAACCTAACAGCAATGAACCTAATAGCGATGGCCTCCAAGCCTAATAGCCATGGCCTCCAATAGCAATGGCCTCCAACCTCATAGCAATGGCCTCCAATCTAATAGCGGTGGCCTCCAACCTATAATGGCGATGGCCTCCAACCTAATAGCCATGGCCTCCAACCTAATAGCGATCGCCTCGAATCTAATAGCGATGGCCTCCAACCTAATAGCAATGGCCTCCAACCTAATAGCGATGGCCTCAAACCCACTAGCGATGGCCTCCAACCTGATAGCGATGGCCCCCAACCTAATAGCGATGGCCTCCAACCTAATAGCGATGGCCTCAAAACTATTAGCAATGACCTCCAACCAAAGGGCGATGGCCTCCAACCTGATAGCGATGGCCTCAAACCCACTAGCGATGGCCTCCAACACAATAGCGATGGCCTCCAACCTGATAGCGATGGCCCCCAACCTAACAGCAACGGCCTCCAACCTAATAGCGGTGGCCTCCAACCTAATATCCATGGCCTCCAACCCAATAGCAATTGCCTCCAACCTAATAGCAATGGCCTCCAACCTAAAAGCGATGGCTTCCCACCTAATAGCAATGGCCTCCAACCTGATAGGAATGGTCCTAATCTAAAGCTACAAACTACGAAACTCCATTTCACGAATCCACGGACTCCACTGTATACAGACACATCAGCTAAGCCTTAAATGCCGGAACAGGATCGTTTCTCAAAGTTGTTTTTCTTTTTGTCAGAAGTGTGGAATTCCTACACCTCTCAAAAACGGAACCGGAGAAATTGAAATTACGGGCCGGAGAAAATAGGCAACCGGACTTGGAGCGAGAAAATGCGGAGATGGTGCGAGAATGCGGGGCGAGAAAATCCGGAGGCGTGGAGGAATCCCCATGAAGTGTGAGAAAAAGCGGAGAGACCCGGAGAAATGCGAGAATCCACGGAATTAGTTTCTTTTTAGGTGAAGCTGGAATTCCTCAACTTTTGGCTTCGCTGGCACAGACAGACAGGCAGCTACTCTTGCTCGCATTGAAGCGTTCGTTCCGAGCTTCGTTGGGTGTCCTCCAGCCAGAGCCTTCCTTCAGCTGCGTCTTGATGGCACCTTCATCCCCAAAAAGGTCATCTTTGGACACCCAGCCTCAGGGCCGAGCGGCACGGAGCGGCACGGAGCGGCAAACTCGGCGCCCGAAAGAGCTACCAGAGTGAAAAATGAGAAGAAACCCGTAGACTTTCAGAAATCGCAGAACAGAAGGGCGCCAGCCAAGCAGTTCCACTTCAAAAACTAAAGTTGCCTGCCAGGGCCACGCAGCTTTCCACATGCAAAACTTTCTCAAAACTGTCTCAATGCTCTCTCGCCACCCAAGGCCTTGGGTGGGATCTTTGGTGGCGAGCCTCGCTTCACATTCGGAGTGAAATGGAGCTAGGCCAGATAGGGCGCTTGGAACGCTCGAGATCAATCCAGCTCTCGGCCTTCCTCACCGTATGCAAAATCTGGAGCAAGGGTGAACTTTGCGACTTCGCCTAGAGAACGGGCATGTCAGCACGGTGTCAAAAACGGGGGCTCAAAAGAACCTACAAAGTGCTTGCGGTCATTGAACAGTCAGCCATGCAGACATGCAGACCTAATGAAAATTATTGAAAGCACGTTGCGTCAATGTCTTTCTTTTGCGCTCTGCCGCTCTGCCTTTTTTCATGGTCTTCACACCCAGGTCCCAGCCTGCCGGTCACATTCTCTCGTGTCGACCAACAGTTTCGGACCGACCGTCACCGACACCGACCTTCAGGACCGGACCGTCCGGCACGGGCCCGGGTGTGGAATTGGTTGGGCCTCTAATGACTTGTCCACTTCCAAGGTTGAATTCCTGAATCCCACAGCACCAAGCAAGTAATCGAACATCCGCGCAGAACAAACGAAACAAATAATTGAAAGCATTCAACAGTGCTGGGCTGCCAGCAAAAGGCTGACCCCGATCTCTAGAAGAGTCGAACTTGCTCCTGAAGAGTGAAGATGGCCTCCAACCTACGAGTGATGGCCTCCAACCTGCTGCCTTATAATTTGATCCTCGCGGAAAACACATGGATCCGGTATTTTGATGTCGGCCCGATAAATCACGCGGCGAGCAAACATGATTGTTTTGGCGTGATTTGGTTCTCGTCGGCGCGATTCTCGGCTCCCATCAGTTTGCAAGGTGCCCACATAGTGAACCTTCACGTCATCACCCTTCTTGGGCCTGGCTGGTGGAGCGCTATCGGATTTTAAGGAAAACCGAGCCATGTGTGGCCACATTGTGTTTGTGGATACACCAGCTGTGGCAATGGATGCTGAGTGTTGCGCTGTGTAAACAAGGTTGATTTCACGTCATTCATGGCAAGCGAAGGTAGCAGTTCCCGTTGCGTCTGAAACGCACCCATCGTTTCGCGACGCTTTCACTCACCGCTTTTGCTTGAAAAACGGCCGAGCAAGACACGTCAGCAACGCATCCGCCACTCCGACCTCAATTTTCTCGCTCAACGACGCTTGGAGGCCATCGCGAGGTTGGAGGCCATCGCGAGAAGGTTGGAGGCCAACGCGAGTAGGTTGGACCCAGAGAGTCATTTCAAGGGGTTTTGGCATGGAAACGGGATATGGGGGGATATGGCATGGAAATGGACATTTCGATGCCATCTCCCCCACTCACAAGTTTGATCTCAGTATGTTTAGATGGTGTTTGCATGTTTTTAATGTGTTCATGATAAATGCTGTGTGTTTGGTTGCGCTCATGTCCAAATGGGATCACATGATAGTTCATGAATGTGTTCATGCATATGTAGGGTGTTTTCATGTTTCATGACATTACATGATTGTTCATGAAGACATGACACATGTTGGATATTGTTGGATTGTTCATGCATGATGGTTTCTCTTTATGTGAAACATGGTGTGTTGCGCGTGGCTCAAAGCCTTTTGACCGGGCCAGCCAACATTTGCATGTGGACCTTGGGAGGTGAGTGCTGTGAAACATTTGTTGGGTTTCCGAAGCGTTTTGATTGTTGTGTGCAGCGTTTTTGGCCCTCAAGCGTTGTGATGAAGCGGCGTGGTATGCAGTCTGGAGAGGCGGCAAATGGGAAGCCTTAGGTGTACATGGTTTCTTTTTCATTGCCTGCAGGTGGTGATGGTGGTGAAGAAACCCTTCGTGAAGAAGGTGGCTGGAAAGGCAGCGAAAGCTGTGGGAGGCTCAGATAAAATGTGTTTTTCTTTTATGTTTTTGATATTTCATTTGCTTTTTGTGCCTAGGCCAGGTCCAAGGCAAAGACTGGGCCTGGAGACCGGAGTGGTGCAGCTGCAGAGCCTGGAGCCGCCTCCAGTTCTGTGCCGAAGCCAACTCCTGTGAAAGCCAAACCTGACGCAGGTCTTGCTCAAATAATGATCAAGCGTGCTGAACTGAAGCGCTTAGAGGCAGGATGAATCACGCTTCGCCCTTTACTGTACTTGAATTTGTTTGCCAGGACATGTATGAGCTGGCAGCTAAGAACAGGGCACCTAAGGCTATGCCCACCAACCGACCTGCGCCGGCCAGCTCGCCACCGTCACTTCCTGCCCCAGTTCCAAAGGCAACTGCAGCCTCACCCCCACTTGTTGCACCGGCAACTTGGAGATTGCCTGTGCCACCACCGCCAGAAGGATTTCCTGCGAGGCTTGGGCTGCGCACCACATTTTTGATGGTTGATTGTGTGAAAGATTTGCCGTTTCGCATGTTGTCGCTTGGAGATTTAAGGACCCGAACCGCAGGCATCGATGTCAGCTCATTTGCGCAAAATTTACTTGTTGTGATTCCCGCCTTTCGGCGGTGCTTGCTTTGCTTGGTGTTTCTTGGTTTTAGCGTGTTCGATTGGTTAAACAGATTGCAGTTCTTACTCTGCATTTGGCAGGGAGCGCAGTGGAGAGATTGTCATTGCGCCGAAGCCGCCGCCGGCTGTGATGGTTGTCCAGTGGACCAGTGGAGGCTTGTTGTATATATATATATATTATATGTGTTTGTTTGCTGGTTGGGTTGAACACCTTGTTTGCTGGCAGGGCGCAACCGCCACCTCCACCCATTTGGCATCCTGGGCTACATGCAGGAGTTCCACATGGGCATGGTTGCCCTTGCTTCATGACGCTCTGAACTCAAGTAGCTCAAGGTGAGGAATTGTTTCTTAGTGCTGAAGAAGCTTTTTTTGAGGCCCTTCGACACTGGTTATGGAGGTGGTGGTGGTTGGCCTTTTCACCCATGGCAGTATCCATATTGAGTAGCCTCCTGAGACGTGTTCTTGTGTTTGTGTGTGTGTGTTGAACTGCTTTGTTTGTTGCTCACGTCTGAGGCCGTTTTGATGGCTGACTGAACTGACTGTCCGTTTGGGAAAAAGGTTGTATGTGCAGGAGTTTTGGTGCCAGAACTCTTGTGTGCACTGTATGAGAAATGCCGCGTGATCATTTGTTTGAGGCTCCTCATGGTGACCTTCTGGGTTCAGGCTGTGGGTGCCTTTTGAGGCTTCAGCTGTTCAAGTCTCCTTTTGCTTGGAGGTGTGAAGTAGAGTTGGGCTGTAGGCATGTCAAGTGCTGGGCTCTGTTTGTTTTGAACGGTTGTCAGATTTGTGCTTTGTACTTCTTGGTTCCTCAGGTCTGATGCCAGCCGCAACCTTAGCCCTTCTTAGTGCCAATGGTTGGGGGTCCCATGCATGGATGTTCATGGGTTTTCATGGGTGTTCATGTTCATACGTTTCATTGTTTTCAAGGTAGGTGCATGGTGGTTCGTGCCATGTGGTTCATGACATGTGTTGTGGTCATGTGCTCATGCATGATCATGTGTTCATGAAATGTCATGCGCTCATGCATGTACATGCGCTCATGTGCGGCCATGTGTTCATGCATGCATGTGTGTTGATTCATGGTGTTCATGAAAACACTGAGGGATTTCGCAAACACCGATGGTGGGATGAGCCGTCAAGTGACCACATGTGGTGAATTGTATGTGTGTGTGTGCGCAGCTTTCAGTACTTGCATACAAATTCCTTAAGCTAGCTGCAGCTGTTTTGTCTCAAGGGTTTTGTAGCAATGCCCCGACTTCTCGCGCAACCCAGAGATGAGCCAGAGTTGGTACAGAAGTATGCTGACGCATTTTGTCGAGAAGAACGCTTGAGAAAAGCCCTGGCCTTGAACATGTGTATTTTGTTGGAGAGGGTATAGATGCTTGCACTTAGGCCGGATTCAACTTCCTGCAGGCATACTCCAAAGAATTTTTTGGGAAGCAACCGGCTTCGCTCAAAGATGTTGAGCTGAATGTGGAGGCATGTTCTTGTGAAGAAGGTAATTTTTCTTGGTACAGTTTATAGATACAGTGTGGGTGACTGGTTGTGGGAGGCTGTCTTCGCTGTGATGAGCGTGACTCCACACGCAAAGCTCAGCGAGGAAGTTTTAGCGGCTGCTGTGAAACTCCATTATGAGCAGCAAGGCTTGCCAGTTGGAGTAGCCATTCAAGCTTTGGAAGCTTTTGCAGCGGATGGCACTTGGTCTCAAGAAGGTGGTGACAAAGTTTGGGGATGTCTACCGTCAGAGCCCTCATGGGGCAAAATAGAGCGATTCAGGGCTTGAAGCAACGCTTGCAGCAAGAAGGAGAGTCAGCTCCAGATGCAAAGGCTGAGGACAAATATGCCAAAGAAGAAGATCTTGAACAGCTGGCTGCTCCACCTGATTGGGCTCAAGTTCTGGCAGAGAAAGTGAAGAAAATGAAGGAACAGAAAGCTGCTGCGTTGGCTTCAGCTCCTGTAGAACCTGCCAAAGCAGATGGGCCTGAGGAAAGACCTATCCCTACACCGGCTCGGTCCAATGTGTTACCAAAGTTTGTTTTGGAAGCGCTGCAGACAGAAAAAGCTGCAGAACCTGTGGTGCCTTTCAGTGTTTGGGAGAAGGGTGCAAAGGAGGATGTGTGTGCTGACGCTCCGAAAGATGATGGCCAGAAGAAGAAAAACCCAACCAGAAAAAATGCAAAGAAAAACAAACAGGCTGTTGTTGCTGATGATGAAGTTGAGAATGGTTTGGGTGGGGAGGTCCCGGGTGCTGGCTCGTCCAAGGAAAAGGAAGTAGTTGGTGAGGGTGCTTGTGTTGTGAAGTATGAGCCCCAGATCTTCTTGCGGAAGAAAAGGGATTTCATTGAGACACAGCGAGCTGCCAAAAGCATTGGCTACAGAGAAGCAGAACAGTTGTGGATGCAAAGTGATGAGAGGGCATCCTATTTGCAGACGCTGTCGCTCAAAGAGCTGAAGCGCAAACGGTTCATGTAATTACAGAGCTGGTGGCACCTGACCACTAGACATTTGCACTAGCTAGGGCATGTTATGCGCACGTGGTCCTTTGCCGCGTGAAACTGTTTGGCAGAACTGTTTGCGTGTGATGTGTGGATGTGAGTTGGCTCTGTGCATGTGTGCATGTGCCAGTTGCCCAAGCTGGATAGGAACACAATCCAATATTCCTCCAAATAATGGGTGGGGTAAGTGTAGCTGAGCTGTTGCAATGGAGCGCTCCATATGCGTTGGTCCTGCGATGGCCTCCAACCTAGAAGGGATGGCCTCCAACCTAATAGCAATGGCCTCCAACCTAATAGCAAAGGCCTCCAACCTATCAGCGATGGCCTCCAACCTAATAGCGATGGCCTCCAACCTAGAAGGGATAGCCTCCAACCTAATAGCAATTGCCTCCAACCTAAAAGCAATGGCCTCCAACCTAATAGCAATGACCTCCAACCTAATAGCGATGGCCTCCAACCTAATAGCGATGGCCTCCAACCTAGTAGCGATGGCCTCCAGCCTAATAGCAAAGGCCTCCAACCTAGTAGCGATGGCCTCCAACCTAATAGCAAAGGCCTCCAACCTAGTAGCGATGGCCTCCAACCTAATAGCGATGGCCTCCAACCAACTAGCAAAGGCCCCGAACCTAATAGCAATGGCGTCGGACCTAATAGCAAAGGCCTCCAACCTAATAGCGACGACCTCCAAACCAAAAGCGATGGCCCCCAACCTAATAGCAAAGGACTCCAACCTAATAGCGATGGCCTCCAACCTAATTGCTATGGCCCAACCTGATAGCAAAGTAAAGGTCTCCAACCTAATGGCAAAAGCCTTCAACCTAATAGCAAAGGCCTCCAACTTAATAGCGATGGCCTCCAACCTAATAGCAAAGGCCTCCAACCTAATAGCAAAGGCCT